TTTACCGACTTTAATTTAAGTTTGTCACATTCTGAGCTTAAACTTGTGTTATCCTTTATAACAGTTTCAACATCTCTCCAGTATTTCTCCACCTTTGCCTGAAAGGTTTTTACTTTTTCTTCAAAATTCACCATACCTTTGGCAGTAAGAGTTCTTGTACGTCCTAGAGACATATGTTAGATCTGCATTTTAGTTGATGCCGAACGAATAAAGTAACATTCCTTTACTGTTCTGCCTCGTTAAAGTGACTAAACAAAACACAATTACTATCAGACAGTTTAACCAGCTTTATTCAATATCTCTAAACGTATGTGTGCGTGTGGTAAAGGCTGAAAATATATAAAAAGAAAATACTAAGTACTATAGGTAAATTTCTATCAAAGTCATACATTCATCACAAATGAAGCAAAGTTCTACTTGTAATTTAGTTCATAAACCTTTACTTTCAATTTAGAAATTAACGTACTTTACTTAAGGTCAAACAATATAAACTTTATACATCTTCACTGAAAAAAAGTTCCACATGAAATTCTTTAAAAATTGTAACGAGAATTTGATGTACCAATCTACAAACTTATTTCACCAAATAGTAGCAAAGTACAAAACATTATATCAATGTATTTACGTAAATCATATAAAGTAACAGTCTGTGAGTGGAAAACCAAAAATACATACAATGTTATAGACATCTACAGCCAAATCTTTTACAAAAAATTACAAATGGCGGTGTCACACCGCTTAAACACGAGAACGTAACTAAATCAAACACGACTCTCACTGTAGCGTTATCGACTCATAGTATCGTCCTCAAAAACATCGTCCCAAAACCGACGATACAACACACTAACATATCCCTTGAACTGCACCAAATCTTTAAAAAAGAGAAAAAACAGAATCCTTTAATAAAGTCCAATACGCTAGGATTTAACATAGTGCAGGGTCGGTTTGATTTACCTGTTCATGGACGGTACGGTAATTGCAAGCTACCATCGACAGCCCCGAAGTTATTTGCTAGTAAGATCTAGTAGAACAAGAAAAATATAAAATGCAGACATGAAGTACGAATAACATCTTCAGCTGTCACACCGCATTTAACACATTCGTTATAATGAGTATATGTATAAAAAAAATCCATCAGAAGCATTAGAAATCTAGATAAAATGTGATCTCTCGTAAGCACTAATCACAACACAATTACATGAAATTTGCAAACTGATTTATTTCAATCTCTATTTTATTGAGCATGTACGTGCGTATATAACGGACAATGTCAGTTTATAATTGAATGTTTGTTATATTATGACAATGACAATAGATTTAGATTATACAATAAATAATTAGAATAAAATTGCTGGGTCAGACATAACACCAAACCATGAAATAACCATTAATAAATGTTGGTGATAATAGTGAGATAAATGATCTTTTATGACATATTGGCATAAAGCAGATGTTCTTGAAGAAAATAATAAATAATTAATATTTATCATAAAAATGTTCATACTAAATCACTAAGAAAAGTATCAAAATTTCATAAAAAGAATATCCGAATGATATACTTTGTTTGTTTTTGTCGTTGTTGTTGTTGGGTTTTTATTATTTTGAATTTATTGTGTCCTTTTATAGACCGATCTGCTTAAGTATTCATGTAACATCAAAAGTGGCCGCTTCATTTGGATAACTACACAATTCATTGAAAATGTCTGTAGATTTTACACACATTTTCCGAGTATAACTTTGAACAATGCTTCATTTTTTGTAAGTTCTTTTTCTTTTCCTTCTTCTAACATTCCAGTGCTACTGGTCATTTATGTATACGATTAACATTATCAGAATAAGACAAGAAATTTTACTGCGTCAAATTCAATAGGTTATACATTTTGTTGTTTTCGTTTGCCATGACTCAAAACGTATGATAAAAAAAATAAAATGTCCTTTAAGCGGAAGAACGTAGAGACGTTTATCTATAAAATGTCAATTTAATATGGGTCATCTTCACAAGCATAACTTATAAACTGATATACCATTTCTCGTACAATAGTTTTCGATGGATGTAGATCAAGGTTTCGTTCAGCAATAGTTGCATCCTTTTGATCTAACACGGTTATCCTGTTAAACAGTCCTTTAAACGTGTTTCTTAAGATATTTGTAAAAACAACACCTATGTAATCATTTCTTCTTAGTTTCCATTTCCTATCTTCCACTTTTCGATACGCATGTGGCAATTTAATAAATACTTTGATATTTGGTTCCCTTTTAAATATTCGCTCTAAACCTTTTCTTATTTCTAAAATATGTGCGGAAAAAAAGTTATGATTATATTGTTGTAGATGAGCGTACAAATGTAGCACTAACACAAGATTTCGGTTTTTTCCCGATTTTGAATTTATGAATTTTTCAAATGAATTTATTTTAAATACGTTATAAAGATTTTTCTTTGTATAAATAGAGATGGGAATATTGTGTCCCTGAAAAGATATTGTAATATTGTATTTGTAGAAATTGCACGTTTCGGGATAACGCCAATTGCCCATCGACCACGTGCATGCATGTTCACTTTCAGCTTGAAGATGCTTTTTTATAAACAAATACCACTGATGGAGTGTAGAGTCTCCCCACAACAGTATCGTCTTATTCCTTAAGCATTCTCCACTAAAATGTTGAATACCTGTTGAGGATACATCAATTATTATTATAATTTGTTTTAGTAAGATAATTATTAATTCCATATTAGAATTAAAAGTTAATTTGCGACAATATTCCAAAAAGAGGTTTTAATAAAATATATCAATGTTCTATCAGGCATACCAACCACAAGAAACTTTATGAAAAATAAAAAACTAATCAAAGTTCTCATAAATCGTGCCATGATAACAGAAGCACATTTTATTATATTGATGTACACTTAACTAATCAGTCTGCAAGTACTTTTTGCATCAGGGTAAAGTATGTGCTAAAAAAACATTTCTTTCGTTAATATATTAAGAAAATATAGTTATTTGCGCTTTTACAAACATAATCTTTACATTGCTTTACCAACAGAGAAGTTTTAAATAATTGTGCAATATTTGCACAAAAAAAGGAGAAAATAAGAATCCCTTTAGAAAGCCCGACACGGCAAATTAAAAATACTGCAGGCTCGGTTCGATTGAGCCTGTTCATGGACGGAACTGTCAAAAGCAATCTACCGCATCCAGGCCACCTAGCACCGGCTTAAGCAAGAATTCGACATTCAACATGAACTTGAGAAAGAAATCAAGAAAGAAAAATATAGAATTGACCTAGAGGTTCTTATAAGATATGTGAACTTATCACACTTAAAAAGAACAAAAACAAGAATGATTGCTAACAGTCAAATTAAATTCTGTTTTTTTTTGCCTTCTAGAACAAGTCTCCTCTTGACAAACGCTTGGAATAAGATTTCCTTAAAAAAGGAAAGACAGTTATTTTGATATAAAATGATCATGAATTAAAATTCTTGCATATTTTACAACCTCTTATTTTGAAAATGTTTAATGTTATATTAAGCCGAGCACCGAAACCATATTTATGCTTATGATAATAGCAAAGTTTGGTTGCATTAACACACTTTTACGCCGTTTGGACAGATCTGCGGACGTTTAAAAATTCAGACTGCAGCATTTTAATGTTTTAAGGTTCAGTTCTGCTGAAGTCTATTCTAGATTGGCGTAAACTTTCGCTTGCAATGGACACTACTCTCAATTTATACGACTTAGGTAGGTAGGTAGGTAGGTAGGTAAGAACAGCACTAAGTACATACAGATACATCCTACTTTAATTTCATCCGGTTGCCTTCATACAATCATATGGTTATTCAGTACGAAAGAATAGTTTATTTTATCAAATATGGCAGTTATTTGGAGTTATTTACATAGCTGCTCAGAAAGCATATATACTTTCCACTGCATTAAAATGCATCGTTTTGTCACATTTACTTTGGAGAGATATTGATTATTCAAGGAACACAAATAGTGTTCACAAGCCTAATACATGAAATTTGAAATCATTCGAGGTAATGTAACAAAAATATATCCAAGTGAGTACTGTTCCGTATCAACCAATTTGCATCAAACAAGAGCAATACTTTTTTTCAGGTCTTTATTTTGGCCTGAAAATAAAGACTGGTATGACAGTAAATTGTTTGACAAAAACGATGGTATTGTTTTATGACAATTTTAAGCTTAACTTATGAAGGGATTTTCCAATTGTCCCTCCATCCAATATATCATAAACTTTGCATAAAATAAAGCTCTTTTTCCGGGTGCATAAATACAGCGGTGAGAAGCAATTGATATGATAAAGACTACTACACTAAAAGTAGTTTCACTTTTAAGAAATAACACCACCACCGTTTAAGTTAAGTAAGTAATAATTCCGTGTAACCACATACCTTTACAATGGATAAGAATCCATGAGTTGTTGTAGAAATATCCTGTCGGTTTTACTTTGACCCATAATTTACTTTTATTGTATTTCGAGCATGGAATATTGGCTCTTTGAATGGTTGTCCTGGACATATTACCAACTCTCTTTGGAAGTATTTGTATGGTTATGTTTGATGGTATAATTGATTCACGGTCTCTTGAAATAATAAAAAAGAATTCAAAATAAAATTGAAACCGGCAATTTCCTAGTCTTCATTCTAGACATCTAAGAAAAATGGTTAAATCTTTTTTATAAAGAATTATAAAAAGTAAACTGGTCATTTCGAACCACGGTCTATTTTTGCAGGTTTGTCACAGGGAATAGAATTGTAGCAGGTTATGTAAATACATGAGTTGTTTTTTAAATTAAGCTATTTTAAATAAATATGGCTAAGTTGCATTGTGGTTTGGGAGAGGAGCAAAAATCATTTTAGGCAAATGCGTGTGATAAATACAAACGGATTTACATTTAGTTTATGGATAATATGCCAGTTCATATCGTACGATTGCCAGGTGTGTGTCAACGTTTAAGAAATGTAGACTTAATGTTAAGGATAATCCCCGCTATTGGCGACTGAATTACGATACATCTGACTGCAAAAGACAGCACTGTCTAAGCCATTAATGATGAAAATACAAGATATATTCTTTGAAGGAAAAAATATCACATATCGTTGAAAGTGGGTCAAATACGAAGATTGTCCAAAAAGTCCGTGACAAATTGTATAGACGGTTCATTTTTAACGCCAATAGATAATAATTCACACATAAAACCGTAAAGTTTATTAGTTAACATTACAACAAATCATTTACAAAATATTTACTCTAGTTACTTAGAAATTTTCAGTATTAACGACATTGGTTTGAGTTGCCGGCGCACGTCAAAAAATTTGCTTTTTTGTTATGAATAGGCTAAAATCAATTACGTATATTTCAAATATCTGATGATGTGTCTGCACAATGTCATGTTGTCTTCCTCTGCTGCTATGTTTATATCATCCCAGAAAAAATTAATTAGGTATCTTAAGAAACGAACAAGATACGGATAAATGTAAATATCTCAATTAAAATGGCGACGTTCGAAGAATTTGCGGCGCAGTGAACAGGTCACTCAGGTTTCGTGACTATTTGGAGATTACTCATGTTACAATTTTCAACAAATATACCAAATAGAACAGTTAAGCAACATATCCTGAGCATTTGTTTACCAAATGCATAAACGGAACCAGAGGTTTGCTCTAGAAAAAGCGAAAATAAGAAAAACACGAATAGAAGACCGATCTTCGTCTTATCCTATTTCCTACAGCTAAAAACAAGTGCAACGAGACCGAAAGTTCGCGTATAGCAAAAATTAGTGTTGCCATCCAAACAATCAACACGCAATAGCAACCACAGGTTGACTTAGGTCTGTAAATGACGATTTAAGCCATTCAGAGTATTTGAGAAAGGCGTCTTAAATAGATTTTAAGCCGTTTTTGACGTTTGGCGTGCTTCGCGATTCAGATAGTTGGCATATTTTTGTTGTTTTTCAATATTTTTCTATGTAAATTTGTGAAAATGTATCAATAATATGAATTCATAACATATTAAAATATCAAATTCGTACCCATTTTATTTAGCCTGTAAACACTTTGTCACAAAAGAGTGGGACAACCCTCGTATGTTTTCCACCTTGAAAGAAAAGTCAAAATAAAGGAAAATGTGCGCCGGTAGGATCCCGCTTTTACTTACTTCTAAAACAAAACGAGAGCGGGTTGCAAAAGCATTTTACTTAATGAATTGGTTAATAGATCGAGATTGTAGACACCCGAGAGAAATTGTCACAGGGGATGATGCATGTGCGCACCTGCCAGTCTTGGTTCAAGCTAATGTTTCAAGACCGTTAGGTGTTAGATGTGAACTAAAATAAAAAAAAAAAAAAAAATTAGAATTAAAAATTTTAATACCGCGCCGTTTAGTTCCAAAACAATGGCCCCTCTCGAAAGAGAAATAATTCTAGTAATTATTAATTTCGAATCTACGCTTTAATAAAATTATTCTTTTTCAATCATATAGACATATTTGAGACCGGAGTTCAAGTTTTTATGTCGCTGTTTATTACAGATAAAACATTTTTTCAACGATTTCATTGGCGTATACGCCATTTTTACACTATCATGTGATAGGACTATCGTCATGTGATTTATGTGACGGTAGTGGTTATTTGCCGTAGCGTAACCGGTGCGCGGAGTTTGTCACCGAATCTGTATTGATTTCTACTGGAAAAAAGTTTTAGTTAAGGCAATACCAAAAGACAAATGAGGGAATATTATGTAAACATGACTAAAAATAAATTAATATTGTCAACAATTGTGTATGTCACTCATGAGACTTTTAGGCATTTGAACAGGCTTTATAATAGAGGAAAACGTGCTTTACAAGTTCGATATATTTTTCTTTGAGCTGCCAGAAGTTTAGCCGTTAATTTTTAGTCTTGTTTTTAAAATAATCTACTGTCATGAAGAATATCATTAGCCACCATAAAACATCGAGTTCATAAGCTCATGGAATATTTTTCTTTATCATGGGCTTAAAGGAACTGGGCATTTCATTTGTGTATACTACTTCATTTACCGTGAAATATTTGACACAAATAAAATTTTAGGTGCCAAAATCTCATAAATCTCAAAATGTTTCGAAAGATTAGTTTCTAAAGCGTTTATGTTAGCAAGAAAAAAATATATCTATTGAGTTTCCGATCATCTTTGTTTCGTAAATGGTGATGCACCGCCGTTTGGAAAGTCGCCAATCGACCTCTACTGTGTTATTGCAACGTAACAACCAAAACAAAGAAACTTGAAAGTTAATTATCATAAAATTTTTCTTTTCAAATACCTTGTGCTTAACTCCATTTCGCATTTGTTAACTTCATTAGTATAGTTATTCCATTTGCGGATTATTGATTTCCAATGATAACACGATAGTTTTCCCGATGGTTTCCCACAAAACCATTGTTGTGATTTGTTCCAGTAGGAAAAATTGCACACTTTTGACAACCTTGAATACTTTAAGACGGTTTCATAATATGGTCCACATGTTGTTTGTTCAGTAACATTCTTGTTCGAAAAAACCGCATGAATGTCAGAAAAATCCTACAAAAAGTAACAAAACATTAACAGAAAAAGGACATGTGTAAATAGTCTATCACAAAAAATTCCTCGTTGTCATTTTACAAAACATCATCCGGTTTTTTAAAAAAAATGCAGATTTGCAGTGCTCTTACAACCGATGGGTAATGCTTAAAGTGTAAATTATTGCAAATTTAATTTTATCTTATAGCAGACCCATTTAATTCGAGTATCAAAATTTTTAACTAGCTTTCACATTCATGCTCATGCAAAATTTGCGTTTTCAAAATGTCTACATATCTTTAACAAAATATCTTAGAATAATGTTTTTAATAATCTTACATACCGATAGATTCATAGAAGTTAAACGGTATTAATGTACAATTCACACTTAAGTAGGATCACATTTTGATACTACCATGTTTTGGTAAAAAAAAAATTAAAATAAACAGATATTTCTCGTACTGGCAACTATTGATTTGCTGTAAATAAATGACCATGGTATGATTAATTTATGTGCAAATTTTGCAAAAAGAAGGAGATGAATGGAGATTAAAAATGTTTAGAAAAAATCCTGAAAACAAAAAGGAGAAAAACATAATCCCTAAAGAAAGCCTTACAGGGCAAAATTGAAAATGTTGCAGGTTTGATTTGATAAAGCATGTTAATTGGCGGTTCTGGAAAGTGCAAGTTACCATTTACGCCCCTAGCACCGGCTTAAGCAGAATTCAAATTTAAACACAAACGATGGTGAAATTTTAAATTTAGAAACATCTGCAAATGTGTTTCATGCGGCGGTTATCATGGAAGCCTCAATATAATACAGTAGTGCAATTCAATGAAAAGCGGCGTATGGTCTACAAATAAAAGAATGCGTTTGCCCGAGAAAACAATGAGCGTAACTAAATAAAATGGAATTTTGAAATGGGATCTGAGGTTATAAATCCTGTAATCACATACAAGACGTCAAAAGACACATAAAAAACAGGCAAAATATCCTAAGGTTGATTATACAATATTCAAGTAGGAATAGTGGAACTAATCAAGTTGAAAATACCAAATAAGAAAAAAAACTAAAAATACCAAATAACTTGTTTACACGTGCTAACGATCTTTGAATATATTGATGCCGAGAAAATCAGACATTTAAGATTCTTAGCTACATAAATAGCATGTATGGTGGCCGAAATTAAGAAATACGAATTGCCATTGTAGCTAAATGTTGCAGATAAACAATCTAGTTTCTGGTGCTGGATATGAGCAAATGCCAAAGAATCTATCAGAGCTTCTGAGCAGATGCTATTTGATGCCCCCCCCCCCTCCCCCGGTCTCCTATCCCCATCCCCTTTGTGGGCATATTATTATTTTCTTTAAATTCCTAATCAGTCACAAATTATTTATCATTTAATGATTAACCCGTCCGTGCTCTGTCTTTGTCCTGTCCTGTTTTTGTTTGGGGTCCGCCTGGGCTCCTTGCCACTGGGTCATATGGGGGTTGCGTTCATTGAACGCCGCCTTTACTTGTTGATCTTGTTTATCATATTCTAACCCAGGAAAATTCAAAGAAGTTGTGTACCTTGCTAATTTTCAGTCAATTTTTTCAAAGTTAAATATTCGTAGAAAGCATAAATAGTCAATTTTGAAAATGATTATTTTATGTCTTCATTCAATGGATAAATATTATATACATGTATTATATATGAGAGGTCGAATGCATACACAATTTTTGTATTAGCAATTTTTTTTTCTCAAAATATTCAACTTTCTACTTTCTTAATATTTGGAAAATTTAGTACTAAACAGTTCGATATTTATCCCCATATAGGATGTCACGTATGTTTCATTTTATTCAAATGCAAGTAAAGGTTGAGAAAACAATTTTATTTTTTGTAAAATAACTTATATTTATGGATATTATTTTAACATTATTATATATAGAATGAAATATAGCCAGTAAGCTCTTTGCAGAAGCGAATTAGTTGTTGCTGAGAACATCAATATTTTGTAATATATTTTTAACATTTCTGCTGGTACATCAACATATTATTAACATATCTTTCCTTTGAAAAAAAAAACAATTTTGTGTCTTCTTACATCTAATACAAGGTAACCGTTACTAACAGGCATGCTTATCCCAACTTTATCTTTAATTTTCAAAAATAGTTGAATTGTAAGTTGGAGTAACGTATGTTTCACACTCGCTTATTTATGAACTTTATCACAGAATTTAAACTTACATGTAAAATCGACTTTTTTTATTTAGGAATCAAATGCACATCTTACTATTGTCATAAAAATGCGGTTTTATGTTTTTATATTTGCATGTGTAAACAATATAAAGTCTATTTGATAAAAGTAACGTTTGTTTCACTGTGGTAACTTAAACAAGTAAAAACACGACCAAAGTTAACAAAATTTACTTACTAATGTCAAACAGAATTTAATGTTGATGCTATACGTGCTTTCTGACTTCAATTTCCTTTTTGATAAGCTTACTTTAAAAAGTTGATAACGTATGTTTCTGTAACGTATGTTTCATTTTTACATTGAAAGTGGGTTAAAATGACGCAAGACCGTTTAAGCCGCCATAATTTCTGGTTAATATATCAGAGTTACACACATGTTAATATTCTTTCTTGTTTGGATTCTTCTTTGAATGGATTGGCTCTAAAATAATGGTAACGTATGTTTCTTTTTAAAGTGCTGTTGAAAAGATTTGAATAAAAAATGAAAATTTCCGAAAATAGAATGATATTTGAGAGGCTGCAAGCTTATTTTCACGTACACTTATATATATGCTGTATTATTAAGCATGCATCGATTCAATTATGTAATTTGGGTTTCACTTCTTATTGTTTTAGGTTTGCACTATTTATTTATATGCATTTGGCGAAATTTGATCATTCATTATACCAATGAGATTTTAACAGTCAAATATAATTTTTACCAATAATCAAAGTGCATATACACACAGCAATGACTAATTGCACATGTTTCGTTTATTCTGGAAATTATTTTTCTGAAACACAATTTCAAAGTTGAAAATTCTAGGTGGCGAAAGTAACGTATGTTACATTTTAGGGCATTAATAGTACTTGTAAAAGAAAAATAACAGATAGAAATGTAAAACTGAGAGTGTCCCTATTAGACAAAGTGGCAGCCACCTTTCTAACGATATTTTGACCTCAAGAAAATCCTTCTTATAAGAGCTACCCAGTGGAACATCAAATGCTATGTTTTATTGAGAATGAGCGTGCTTAGTGTTCAACCCTTTTACAGTTTGACACTACGCTTTCCTCTTTTGATTACATCTGACGGACCAAGTGGGAGACTCTTTGATGGACAGTTTTTAAAGCCCTTCGGGACTGAATTGTCTTAATGTTCGTCTTCTACCTTGCTTCGTCGGGCCCTTGTAACGATAACAAATGTTAGAATTTCACTTTCACGGGTATTCATTTAATTTACACTGTCTCGTTTATAGAAACATGGTGGGGCTAAGAGTGAGGTTTGGTACACGATTACCGGTTTAAACTGCCCAGTAGTACTTGTGCTGCTGACCGTTCCGAGGCGGCGCCCCTCTGTGTTCCTGATGCATGTCTGTGTTGTTTCATACTGTTTTGGTGACAAATTTGCTTGTGTTGTTTTCTCTTCTACGGTAAGTATCTTTCCCTTTGCTCAAGTTTTTATTTCTTTGATTTACCCCCCCCCCCTCTTCCCCCGGTCTCCTGTCCCCGTGTGCCCTTAATGGGCATATTATTCAATCATTTATTTGTTTCCCTTATCAGTTACAGTACAAATTATTTCCTATTATTCAATCATTTATTTGTTTTTTTGAATTTCTTATAAGTTACAAATTATTTATCATATTAGTGATTAACCTGTCCTTGCCTTGTCCTGTTTTTGTTGGATCCACTTGGGCTCCTTGCCACTGGTTCTTGTTGCTGGGTCGTGTGGGACGCCGCCTTTCTTTGTTGATTTTGTTTAACATTTTAATATCTTTAAATTGTGATTAAAAGAAAAAAATACTTAATGACAAAATATAATCGTAGCAAACTTTGAGTAGTACATATTTGTTCAATATGTAAAGTAGGATCAAAGAAAACATACCCATTTTTTTCTTAAACGAACCGCAGTGACTATGGTTTCTTTTGTGTATAGTACTTCTACCTCCAAATGAGCCAGTCCACTCCATAATGTTTGTACAGTTACGGTGTATGTTCCATTGTTGTGGTCAAAAATTGTACAAGGTGTATATGCTTCTAGGGATTCATTGTATAAACGTGCTCGTAAATGATCTCCGCCAGTGTCCTTAGGTTTACCATATCCATTGTAAAGTACAACTCTAAAGTGAACATTCTTTCCGAGAAAGAATGGACTTATCCCTGATAATACATGTATTGCAATTAGGTTTTATTCATAAAAATATTTCTATATCATTATTTTCTATTTATTTTCAAATTCACAATTTAGTTATATTTATGACTCATTTGTCGGTTGGTTAACATTTTCTACTTTTCGTTGATTGTTAAAACATTTAAAAATTAAGCAGTAATATTTACACTTCACATGATTAGTTCATATTTGTAACACTATCGCAACTTAAAGTCAATATTGTTGTTCTGTTATTAAGGAAATTCAATGAAGCAGTTTCCGCAAACAGTCATTGACCTAGGAACTTCAAACATAGCAGTAAATTCACCTTATTTATTTACATCAATAGCCAGGTGAAAGATCAATGTTTAAGGTCACAGGGATCTAGCAATATATAAAAGGGTCATTAAAAATTAATCAACACAAATTGATCAACTTACAACATATTTACTTAAGGTTCCACATTTATTCAACCTGGAGTATTTTAAGGTTCAAAGGTCGTAATGTCAAAATCACTCGAAATTGTTAACTGGCCAATTATCATAATACATTAACACAGAAACCATATATGTAGATTTCCTTGATGAATTCTACCTGTACTATCCTATTTCCATGTAAAGAAGTCAAAGGTCAAGTGTCATTAAATGA